GGCTGTTTTTCCTGTGTCTCAAGAGGAGATTGATGAGCACATTTGTGAAGACAATTGCTTTCTTCTCCTTACAGCTTTGAGATGCAAGTACTGATACATGAAGGGAACAGCCTGGGAACATCTGAAGTGCTGGCACCTCCTCGTGCTCGTACTCCTCTTTCTTATTCCCCATGCTCTCCACCTGGACACTTTCAGATGGACTGCTGGAGAAATCCTCTCTCTGGAGGACACCCCCAGCACCGGGCCTGTTGCTGTTTGAGGTGTTCTGCACCAGCCTGTTCTCCTCCTCTCACACCCTGAGTACCCCTGTCCTTTGGCAAAGATTAATTTAAACAACCTAAACCCTCTCTTCCACTAATGAAATACAATCAATAAATATAGTTATTCTTACATTGCTGTAGTCTCTGGTCATCTGAAAATATTCCACTCAGTTGACAGAAATGATGCAAAATTCCCATCTCCTTGAAGCAATAAAGGAAACAGTGTTCTTTAATAAAATCAGAAGGGATAGTTGGGGATAGACAGTTTTAGAGATTACTGTCTACTGGGAATGTGAGATGTGGCCCTTGAGTGCAGATCTGTGCTCTGCAGACACAGACAACTGGGCTAAAGGAGGGCAGCACGGCCACTGGGAGGCTCAGGGAAATTCAGAGCAAACCACTTTCACAACAAACACAATCCTTCTCTCTCCTCAAATACCACCTGAACAATAGGTAGGCCTGAAGATGGGTCATGTATGAAAGTCTCCTATGGCATTTTACTCTGGATCACTTAGGGTGGAGCACAGCTCTGTGTGAACACCAAGTCAGAGCAGCTAAAGCCAGGGCAGAGGGACAGGGGCTGGCACGTGCCCAGCTCCCACTGGGGCTCTGGGCATGCCACCAGTCCAAGGGGAACAGCACTCCTGCAGCCTGGGAGCATGGACCACTCCTGTCTGGAATAAGCAGTGGTGACTGCTGGGGGAGCAGTCCTCCAAAATATCAGGCTTTAGCTCACCTCTGTTCCCACTGAAGACCTCACAAACATTCCCATCAGTTTCACTGTGGCAAGAGTTGGTCCAGTGCCTTTTATTACTTCATCCCATGTGAGGAGTTTGACATATTTCTTGTCATGCAGTCAAACAGAATAATTGTACCGGCATTTCAATCCAACTGGAAGGCATGGCCGAATTCTCTTCTGGCTCATTTAACCTTCCTAAAGCAGGAATTCATATGGAGGTGTCTATAAAGCCTCCATGCAGGTCTGTGCCAAACACAGGCCTTTCCCACACAATAAGGATTTCTTCCCAGGACATACACTGAAGCAGATGAATTTAAAATACAGTTTCTGTGAGCAAACGTGCAGGTGAAATCTAACTGCTTCAAAGCAGACCTAGCACCTAAGCACAATCAGGAGGAATTTGTGTTAAAGTTTCTGTAAAGATTTGAGGTTATGTTCTATGGGAGATTTTCTTTCACTAGTGATTTCAAAATAAAGCACACAGTACTCTTCCTATGGTTTTCACTCACATGGATGCACGTGCAAAATGCTTGTGTGCCAAACTATTAAAGACATTTGACTAAAATATAGTAATGTATTGTGCATAAAAACCCCTCAAAACTGCAGACCTGTAAAGATGTTTGACTTTGTTGTCCTCTAATGTTAAACCTGACCACACTTCCTAAAAAGATGATGAAGGGATGCAGAGTAATTGAGATTTAATTGCATTTCTCCTTCCAAAAGCTGAAAGGTATGGTCTGTAACTGGGCTCTAGCATCTCTGCACTAAAGCAGTCACTAAACCTCCAAGTTCTGCCCCACCAACATATGCCAACAGCAAAATGTAATTGGAACAACCTCATAATAACTATCTTTTAAAGAAAAAGTTTTCAGCTACATTCTCTTCAGCCCTAATTGTCTTGAAATTACTTTGATGAGAACAAAGTGGCACATTTTTGTCTGGTGCTGAGATCACTTAAAATGGGGCATGGAAAACAAGAACTGTGTATCCTGAGGGATATCACAGTATTTTTCTATAATAATTACAATAACTTTTCTTGGTTTTTCTTTTTTATGCTAAGATTTCACATAAGTAGCACTCCTGCAAAATTTAGTTACTTAATTTTCATTTGTTGCTACCTTAATTGTTACAGAGTGCTCAGATCTGTAAAGTTACATTGAGGTGTATAACACAAAAACATGTTCAATATATGCCTTCAATAATTTCTCTGTTGTTTGAAAACTTCCAACTTACAGCAAAGCTGGCATTTTATGGCCTGCAGAGCTATAAATCATTTTTAAAATCATGATGATATTACTCAAAACAGATGTGAAAACATATGTTTGCCACGGCTGTATAAACCGCTTACTTGTCATCCTTAATAAATGTTGATACTTTTATTTTAACTACATTCCTTCTTAATAACTTTGAAAATCTTTTCCATGGTAAATATATTTTGCCTTAGTAAAGGTAATGGCAGGTTCTGAAAAACAGAGCTCGTGCTGTATACAAATTACACGTCTATTTTCTGCTGAAC